GGGCTGGTGAAGAAGGTGGCCCGTTCCAAGGGGAGGAGGAGGATGTTGCCGGCCTGCTGAGGGAGATGGATGCGGGGGAGAAGAAAGAGAAGAACGAAGAGGTGGGTTGCCAAGGTGACCCAGCTGAACCAGAAGTGAACACTTTGGTCTTTGGTTTCAAGAACAAGAGGGACAAGCCTTGCAAGGAGGTGGAGCCCGACTTCATCATCACAGACGTCTTCTCCCTCAAGAACCACGTCATGAAAAGCAGGGACGTGGCCTCTCCGGACCTCGATGCCAAGCCAAAGCATTGCAAAGTGCCAAAGAAATGCCTGGCCAGCAGCGGGATCCTCATGGAGCAGTGGAAACTGGTGGCAAATGGGCAGAGGAGGAACACACCCGAGGTCTCCCCGCCTTGCACTGACAGCAACATCATCCCGTGCTACCCACCTCCAGCTTACGGCGACTACCACGAACCTCAGGGCCTCAACCTCTCACTGCTGGGCATCAACTACCCACTAAACCCCAATCTCTTCTCCTACCTGAGCCCCACCATGGCCAACAGTGCTACGACTCACCCACACTTGACTCAGCTGCCCTTCCTGGCCTCCACGGCCCAGCTGATGCACCCCCACGCCTCCCACTTCCAGCCCCTGCAGAGCCCCGAGCGCTCGGCCTTCCTGCCCCGCTTCTACTACCCCTTGCTCTTCGAGCACACCTTCGGCTCTGCTGAAAGCAAGATGCCCTCCAGCAAGCCAGAAGCCCAGCAGCTGGTGGGCTCTGTCTTGCCCACACCACCCCAAGCCAAACCTCCCAGCGAGCCAACCAAACCAGGGCTGCTGAAGGTACCGGTTCTGAAGACGGGTTTTCCTTGGTCCAAAGGTGTCAGAGAGGAGCCGTCCTCTGAGCTCAGCCACCCTGCCGTGCTGGGGCAGGAGGAAGAGGAGAAATGGCTGTCCCAAGAGAAGGACAGCAACCCAGCTTTGGGCCTCAACAACCTGCACAAAAAGCCAGCCACTGACATCTACCCACACCTGCTGGGGGTGAAGGACGCCGCTTTTGCCCCCAGCAGCATCCGGAAGACAGAGTTACCAGGGGTGACCTCTTTGGAGACAAGCAGCCCTCCAGGAAACGCCCTGAAGAGGAAGCTCACGGCCAATGGGCTGGATTTGATAGGACCTGAAAGGCTAACGTCTGGAAAACTCAGCTACCAGAGCAGGTAAGGTGTCTGTGATCTCTCTGCCTCTTCTTCACATCTGCTTGGTCCTAAACTTCATCTTCACACCCCATCATCTTACTGATCCCCTCCCTTGCCTCTAAACCATGAGATGAGCTTCCAAGGGCTGAACACACTCCAGACTGGTGGTCCATATCAATGCCCACCAGGAACAAAGGACCCGAGTAGCCTTCAGGAGCCTCCAAGCACCTGAGCTATGTCACTGCTTGCTGTCCCTCACTTTCCCCTCTCTCACCCAGAGCCAGAAGTGATGTGGTGTCTGTGTGGTGCAGACCTGCACTCCCCAGGCACCAGGAAATCTCCTCGTGGGTCCCAAGATCTCCCAAGGTTGCTGGAACAATTATTGCCTATTTTTAAACACACACATTTGCATTCCTTTGATTTGCCTTCTGGTTTCAAAGCCCAGAGGGAGGGTCACGTTTCCAAACGTTTCCTTTTACCTGGGGCTAGAAATGTGCACAGCTCCTTTTAAGAAAATTTCAGTTCCTCCCCTGGTTGTGCAAGTCCAGCTGTGGCTCCATGAAAAATGTCACTGCAAACCCCACCGCTTTGGCACCCGGAGGAGCTTTCTCTGGAAGAGTTCTCCATGGTTTTCTACCTCCACCTGCCTCCTCCCTGCTCTCAGGCTGGCTGGAGAGATCCCCTCCAGCTGGGCCTTCAGGACTGTGAGGTGGCAATTTCCATCAACGTTCTCCAGTGCTCCAAGTAGAAGGAGAATCCAGGTTGGGCTAGCTGAGGTGGGATCACTCAGCAGCAGCATCTCTTCAGACTGGTTTCTCCCTTTTTTGGTGGGTGTCATGAAACAGCCTGGGTCAGGGTCCAGCCACCTCCTGGAAGAACGATGCCAGGAGCAGGTCCAGCCAGGGCTCTGGATGCACAGACCAAAGCCCTTCCTGGGAGGGCCTCACGCTGGCAGCAGTCAGTGGAGGAACCCTGGCTGAATCTGACAGGGCTGGCCCTGGACATATGCCCAAGGAATTTCTTTA